ATTCAGTAGAGTGTCTGACTCGTGAGTGTTAATCTTTAACGTTGTTTCATTGAACAGATTACGTACTGCGCTGTATTCTATATTCATAGACTATGGTGAACATGGTCAACACAAATGACTACCGGAATGTTTTTTTTTCTTTTTAAGAATTTTATAGTTTTTAAAGGGATCCAAATATCAATGGTGGTTCAGACATGCGCTAATTCTTGCTCAAATATTAACCAACCCGACAACTGGTCAAATTTCTTATATACATAGTGGCCGTTAATAATTAAGTATAACTCATGACTTCAATGTTAAATAAAGCAGTATTTAATTATAACCGCAAATAAATACTTAACAAGAACAAAGAAGTCAACCAAAGATAACCATTTCAGTGAATAACTTGTTAGTAGCGCGGCTCGGCCTAACGTCTGGTAAATCCTAAATCAAAACCCAAATCATAGACGCACAATAATTCACACTAATTCGACTGGATATTTCCACTCAATAGTCACTCAATAATCATCAGCAGTCAGTAGCCTGACACCGCTACTTATATATCTGGCAGAAAACGTATATTTATAAATCCAGAGTGTCACACTGGAACCGCGGTGTCAGTAGTTACTTATTTTCTTTCTATGTGACAAAATATATAGTAAATGCGAATTTATATATATGCAACTTTCGGATAATAACTGTGACATTTCTGTAATTATTGAACAATATAGTTAATACCACATTGACTGCAAAAACCTACCAGTACAATAGAATTCTCCTATTACCATATTAGTACAAAAACGAAATCTTAAAATTTAAAATTCAATCTCAGCGTTGCGACCGCACGTTCCAAAACAATAACACATTTCTAAAAGCATTTTTTCGGATTACATCCATATTTTCGTTGTCCTGTTAATACCGGGAAGTAAAAAACAAAAACAAATCTATTTCCATGCCTGATGATGTCTGTATGAACAGATGAAAGCTTGTAAAAAATCTAAAAAAAGACCTTATGCAACTGGAATTTATAAACAGGGATCATATCATTCATATACAGGTTCGGGGTTAGTGTACTTTATTAAAATTGTTTGCGAAGATGTGTTCTCGCCATTGAAATCATTAACTTCTATATTTGTTTTTGTATGAATGATTCATGTAATTATAAATTGAACTGCACCTATACTGGAAATATAATATATATATATATATATATATATATATATATATATATATATATATATATATATGTGTGTGGGGGGTGATGCATAGTATCCCGGAATAAGAAATTAGGGGACGAGTTCCAGTTCGTTATATTCACTTATACATAAATACCCTTGCGAAAGATATCAATCCACCTCTTCTCTCCCCAGCTATGGGTTAATTAATAAGACATGTACCTCAAAATCATTATTATTTCCAAAAAAAGAATTATTTAGAAAAAAAAAAAGAATTCTGACTTTAAATAACCTGAAAAAGGTTGATAAGTCATAAAAAAAACACGAATCAATCAATCAATTTAAAAACTTAACCTTTCGGTTGCTTTATTCTTCGGCTTTCTTCAGCATTCCGCACGCAAAACATCGATACTTTTAAATGACTCAATTTTAATTTCATAGTTGTTAAAACTTTTGCAGACAATACTTGTGCTGCTTTTGTTGTAAGCATATTTCGGCCGATCTATTCTACAATCTACTTCCGGTGTGCAATTCATAAGAGTCATTAGCGAACAGTAAAGAAGTCTTTGCGAATTTACTGACCGGTTGTGCTCATTCCCATCAATATGAGCCACGTAACCGTATATTTTTTCGCTACGATTTTCCTTATAAGGGCTCTGAGATATTTCAGGATGAAAATAACGATAAAGACGGCGAATTGCTGAAATGTCGGGGCAAATATATTCCACCGTCAAATATTTTCTTTAAATTCACATTTATAAACCGTTTATTTTTCCGGTTTTCGCTCATAGACCGAGGAAAGTTTTCCCTCCGTAATGTAAACTCATTTGTTATTTAATAGATTCGGGAAGCGAGTTGATTAAACGTATTTATATTGGGTACTTTGCCAGATCCTTCAAAATCAAATACGACTTGGGCAATCAGCACCACCGTCAAATGTCTATTTTTGATTGAAAGGTGTAATTGGAAAAATTTTCCTCCGTTATAAAATTCCTGTCTGATTGGCAACCGGGGTCTGATTTCTGTTCGCCTCTTCAGGGGACTTCCTTAAATCTTGAAGGAGAACTTCCGATTCCTGGTCATGACTCCAAGAGTCAGTTCTTACCGAAAATTACCCACTTATACACACACTTACTGCAGGAATTTGACACCAACAGATTCCAAAGTTTGAAATAATGAACAAATAGTCAAATATATATATATATATATATATATATATATATATATATATATATATATATCAAGAATTAATGGATTCATTTTTAATCCGACATTTTTAGTTTTTACATTAATTTCCTGTTGGAGTGTGTCTTCTATTTTATTAAGGTTTTTTGAGTGCGCAGGCTGATAGACCTAACACAGACTATTTAAGATAAAAACAGGACGTCTATTTCCAACAGGGGTATCCACTAAAATAAAGTTTGAAGTAATACACACCGGCATACATGCAGGCACCTACACACCCACACACATCCACACACACACACACACACACACACATCCACACACACACCCACATACACACCCACCGACACACACATCCACTTACCCCCACACATACACACCCACCGACACACCCACACACACCCACATACACACACATACACACCCACCGACACACACTCACTCACCCACACACATACACACACACCGACACACACTCACACACCCACACCCACAGACACCCCCCATACACAGATACACACACACATTTATTGTGTTTCATAAACATAAAAAATAGACAAAGAATATCTTTGTCGTAAATTTATATTCCATACTTTCTTGCGTACAATACGAGAAATTCTGAACGAATCTTAAAGGCAAAAAAATAGGGTTGTTTTATACGCAAGTACATGTTTTCAGACATTTTCACTCAGCTTAAAAAGCATCTTACTTGAAACAGCAACATTTCAAATACACTCAGCCCAATAGATAACAAAACACAAAGGAGGTTGGTATTGATAACAATTGTTTAAAAAAGGGTATTTGATATGGCGGCAATATTTGTTTCTCTCTTCGTTCTTAGTGAAAGATAATATCTTTCTCATTGTTCATTAATATATAGAAATATAATAAAGTCACATCTAACAAAAAATAATGAGAGATTAATTAACACCTTAAATTTTTTTACAGGGTATGTCTCGCACCTTTCCCCTAAAATTCGAAAATAATTTTTAAAACGGAAATTAGGAGGAGAAACACGCAATGGCTAAATATCTGGTTCATTTCTAATCTTTATTATCAAGAAAAATGAAAGTGAATTCTATGTACGACATTGAGAATTTATTCCATAAATAAGACGCTTCCTCTGTAGCTAAATAGTACAGCACCTCAGGCTATATGACAGGAACACCCACACATGGTTGTGAAGGAAAGCGTGAAGAAAGGACTAAACGTCAATTGCAAGAAGACTGAATCCATAGTTGTTAGCAAAATTAACAGACCAACATGCAAATTACAAATTGGAGACAACAAAATAAAACAAGGTACGCTGGAGTAATGAATAGAGGCGCGGAGAGCCGAGTTCGAATTCCACTCGAATCCATTACATTCACTTACGTGCTAATACTCTTGGGAAAGGTATGAATCATCTCCTTCCCCACCCAGTTATGGGTAAATGGCAGGACAGACCGGGTTCTATAGCCTTAGATGACAACTGGTCTACCGCAGAAAGAAATTGCATCCTACTGCAGGGAAAAATCTGCTTCGTCAGTCATGTATCGAAAGATACATGATCGCATTTGCGTGTATCACGCATGGCACATCATTTCCCCGTAGAGGCGACCTTTAAATAAGGCGAAGACAAAAATATAGCAAAGTTTGATGAATTTATCCTATAAAACGGTTCCTTATTGATTATATAAAGATGATGTTATTGGAAATGCTTTTACTTGCTGTATCCATAGAAATTGAAAAAAACAAAACAAAAAAAAAAACGAAATAACAACACCAATTATATATCTTTTCCTACACTCCCCCTCCGTTAAACAGTAAAGCATTGTTTTGTTTACTTTTCATTCACGTGATCTTCTTTTCCTATATCTAAACAGTTACAAACAGCCTGGTGTACTAACGACCATTTACTTATACTTCATCGACAATCACAAATTACCACTAATAACAGTACGATAATAGTACATTCCATCGCTGTGAATGAAATCATAACTCAATGTTTACCTTTTCTCAGCTGAACTTGCATGGATACAAGTTGATTTCATCGATATGGAATTATTCTTCGAATAAGTAATTTATTATGAAATTATACCAGTAATATATACAAGTGAAGTCTTGATTGGTTGTTGTTTGCTGAGGCAACTTATATAATTCACGTCCTAAAGCTAGTGGCAAATTTTTGTTCTAGGTGCGGGCCGAATACTGATCATATTCGGTCGGGTCACCCATCGAAGAAGTCTGTTGTATATCTAGACCCGAAACTTCTAGTGACATGAGAGCAACAACACTGACGACGCATCTAGATTCAGCACTTAAAGGTGTATTCTAATAATAATAATAAGTTAGAGATGGTTTTATTACTTTTATTATCAGTTTATTTGATAACGTGAATCTTTTCATGTACGTTATTGGTGATCGCACCAAGGTCAAGGTTAGCCTACCGACAAAAATCACTCAGAATTTAAAGTTTCTTTTTTAGAATTGTTGTATAAGGCGACCCCTAATTTTTAAGGCAGATTCTTGGAATTTAAAGTTCGTCTTATACGCGGGAATATACAGTATATATATATTGGTTGTGTGCAAAATCTTACAAAGCTTCTTTTTGGAAAATTAAAGACACTATAAACATTATTTAAGTAGATATATCCCCGGAATAATTGGAGATTTTAATCGATGGAAAGATCTAACCACCAAACCAGAGACCATATATTTTTTTTCTTCTTTTCAACCAAAAGTGGGTGGGGGCGTTGCACCTCTCGTAGTTCTTACAAGTGAAGATTTCCGCTGGTGTCTGAAAAGCGGAAATGGCCACTCGGGATAAATCTGAACACTTACGCCAGTCAAAATAGCTTCCTGGCTCCTGGATTTATAAGCAAGAACATTTTCACGGACGTTGATCCAATTTATTTTTGCTTTGCGTTTATGTTCTGGAAGTAAATAAAGATGATTGCCAAGAGATTCGCCTTTCTTCACAACAACGTCAAAAGGTTTCATTCCACATATTCACTCTATCTATCTATCTATCTATCTATCTATCTATCTATCTATCCTCAGTCTTTTTCCTTCTATGTCCTACGTCTTTTTTTATCTATCTATCTATCTGTAAAGAATTATTTCATACCATTTGTGTGTGTTCGCATCTATCTATCTATCTATCTATCTATCTATCTATCTATCTATCTATAAAGAATTATTTCATATCCATTTGTGTGTGTTCGCATCTATCATCTATCTATCTATCTATCTATCTATCTATCTATCTATCTATCTATCTATCTATCTTCATGTATGGTTATATATCTCTGTTCATTATCTATCTATCTATCTATCTATCTATCGATCTATCTATCCTCAGTCTTTTCCTTCTATCTATCTATGTCCTCCCTCTTTTTTATCTATCTATCTATCTATCTATCTATCTATCTATCTATCTATCTATCTATCTGCTGGCTTGTCTAATGCGTGTACCTATGTTCTCCTGTTTGCTCCTATCTATCTGCATATCTCTGTTTTATATATATATATATATGCGTGTGTGTGTTTCATCCCGAGCAAGGCGTCAGTGCCACTAATATGTCATGAGTTAATGCAAGTGAAAGTGAATGAGAAGATTTTAGTGAGAAGAACAGGTTTTAGAAAGACAAGGTGACTTTCGACGCGATTCAAATTGCGCCCTCCTTTGCACGAGAATCCACCGTCCGATCCAGCGTGCTTTGACCGTTCAGCCAGGAAGAGTTTCACAGTCAAGAAAGTTAGTAACTGCCTTAATGCAGATTCTTTCATTCAGATTTTATTGAAAGCCATCTCTGTTGAGTTTTGTACCCGAAACGAAAACAAAGCAATTTCTAAAGAATTCATGGTTTTATTTTTCAGTCTGGCATGTATTTATCACTTCAAACGTTATTTTTATTGGATACCCGTATCTGAGTAGACGTGCCGTTTTTTAAACAGTGTTTATTTTGTCTACCGGCCTGCTCACTCAAAAAACTAATAACATTTGAAGTAATAACGATTTTTAATTTCAAAAGCAAAATATCCCCTCTTTTTTTTTCGAAAGAGAAATGAAGACGAGAAAACACAAGGTTAGAATAAAAATGACGCTTGTGGGTTTACCCTGATTCCAAATAAATCCATTAATTCTTTAGAAATATATATATATATATATATATATATATATATATATATATATATATATATACATTGTGTGGATTTAGGCAGCATATTTTCATTTATACACGTTTCATTAAATAATATAGACAAGTGTTGTCTATTTATTCTATGTAAATTTTTTTCGTAACATCTGATAAGTTTAATAACATTATCATTAAACGAAGAAAGAAATTCACAATATTGATTCATATTTTTTTATTATAATCTAAGCTTTCGGCTTACTTAAGCCATTATCAAAGATGTCAATTACAAACATATTAAACAATATACAGACAAGACAGTGATGATAGTCTGTCATTGTTTACATAGATGATCTCTAAGCAACGATAAACACGCGCATATAAGATGCTAGAAGCGAAAATCACACCGCATCTCATGACGTCACACATGACCACACGAGAGTGAATTGGAGAATGAAGTATGGAAAGCCGTTGGTATAAACCAATGGCTTCTGTTACCAATTATAGACATTTAAGAATATTTGTAGAGATGCCATAATTGATAAATAGACAACACTTGTTTATATTATTTAATGAAACGTGTGTATGTATATATATATATATATATATATATATGTGTGTGTGTGTGTGTGTGTGTGTGTGTGTCCATGTATAAGATAAGATAAAATAGAGTATAATTCCATTGGTCGTAGCATTTAAATTAAAAAGGGGCTCAATACATTTAGCTTTATATTATATAATATAGGAGATTAAAACAAAAAGGTTAAAATACAAAAACCTCAGTAATAATGGAAATAACAAGGTAACTAATGTCGACAATAATAACCACTGTAATTGCAGAAATTCTAACGACTGCCCATTGCAAAACAAATATCTGACCAACTCTTTTGTTTACCTAAGAACTATTTCTGAAATAAAAAAATCCGACTGTTGAAAAATTTTACATCGTGATTACTAAGAATCCGTTTAAAACTAGGTGGTACCAAAATAACGTATCTTTCACGAGTAGCACTTATAAAAATAGAACATATTTTTGGAATTTAGAAGAGGTTAATAAAACACCTACTGTAACATGGGAAGTATTCATAAAAAGCTAGAACTTGTAAATCCATAACTGAATCTTGCTTCTTATGCTTACAGGAGAAATTGGAAATTATTGAATTTGTTGATAAATGTTCTCTATTAAACCAAAGAATCGAATTAAATGTAAATTGTAGACACAAATTACCATTTAACCTTAAATTATGGTTAAACTTTGAATTTGGTAGTACTATTTCATATGGTCATAATTAGTAAGTAAATTACGGTGAACCTTCTATGAGTGATTATTTATTTGGTTATTTAGATTTAATATAGCTATGTATTACTGTCTAGTCGGTATCGTTGATATCTTATATGGATGTTCCACATTTTATTTTAAAACGGTTAAGTTGTATTCACTGGTTTCTTGAAGAAGCCTTTTAATTACAAACTACAAAATCTATGCTACAATCAGCTAAACGTTTGGTTATCTTCCTACCCCTCCGCTTAGCTTCTTATGGAAAATTGAATAAGTCATAATTGTTCACATTTATGATAGTGTAGCCACTAGCTTATAGTTTGAATTAATTTCATGTCTCCTACAAATGATCTTGCCTAGGATTCTATTTCAGGCTACATTATGCCATGATCTAAATTTTATTTTTATTTTTTAGGTTAATTTTGAATTTAGCGTAGGTCTGACACCTGATTGGCTAATCAGAGTAAACCAACAAGCCTCATTTTAATTCTGATCTTGTGATTTCTCGTCTTCATTTCCCTGACGATCCGCTTAGGTAAAACTTTGGTAGGTTTGTCTGGCTCTCTAGGTTTGACTAGGTCTGCTCTACTTTTTTTGTATTGAGCACTTTTTTAGTTAGTTGATTACTCGTATCGGGGTTTTTTCTTTGGGCTTTGGACCTGTATGTTGTACGATTATTTCCGACAGACCTTCATGTTCCTAGCTCTTTCTTTTTTCAAAACTTTTTTTTTCCTTCGAAATTGATTTGAACATTAGCAAATCAAGACACCGAAGGTTTTCCGAGATGAGTGTATATATATATATATATATATATATATATATATATATATATATATATATATATATATGAAGAAAAATATACAGAAAAAACAAACAAAAATCTTAGTTGATATAGGAATACGCAGAGATCAATTTTGCAGGGATTTCTTGAACTGTTTATATAAAATAGTTCAATCGACTTTTTTAATATTTTAATATTTGGAAATCATCTTCGAATACGTTTTCACAACATCGCCCACGTGACGACGACGTGATCATATTTAAACGGAACGCTGATCTTATATAAAAATTTCAGTTATCTGTTTGGATTAGTTGTGCTCTTATGTCCATCGTCTTTTCATGTTCAATTTTTATATGTTCTAATGTTAATTATGTTTAAATGAAAATGTCCTGAAGATGGTTTAAAATAGACCGAAACGTCCGACGTTGACTTTATATTAACATTAATACAGCATAATTGCATATTAAGATTTTTTTTTGTTTTTTCTGTATATTTTTTCTTCATACTGTCGGATCTATATCCATATATTTATATATATATATATATATATATATATATATATATATATATATGCTTGATTTTGACGTCTCAAATTCGTAGCTCACATCTTGGACCCCTATCCGTCTCACATGTTCCGTCAATGGTATTTTCAGGATCTTTCTGTGGAACCACATCTCCGTTGCTTCAAGACTTTTCTTCTATATGGAAATTGTCCATTCTCTGCCATATAGAAAGATTAGTATTACATCGCATTTCATCGCACTTTTTCATTTTTCCTTAAATCTCCACCTCACCTAATGTTGAAGGGTTCTCCCCTTTTTACACAAATGGACTCACCCAGGGTATACATATACTACTGCTAGTGAATACCCGGAAGACGAACGAGAAAGAAGGTCGAACGAGCACGAACGTAACAAGCAACAGTGAGCAAGCACGTAGACTCAGTAAGAAGTCATACAGTGCTACGTCGATACCAAAGACTATATATATATATATATATATTGCTACTAACCCGCATACCTGGAACTACTAACCTGCTTTACCAGTTTGTATTATTACATTAATACATTTATTTTCCTATATTCCTTCTTGGCGTTTGTTATTTATTGGTACCGGATTTCATCCCAGAATCCACAACACCTAATGTTCATAGGTGACGTTCTTGTGTTATATCCTCATAAAATAATTCAACTGGACATAATAAAGAAACTTAATAGCGTAGAACCTACCATCGAATTTGCACACGAATTTGAAACAGACAAATCTCAACCTTTCCTCGGCATCTTATTGATGCATATGTCATATAGGAATAAGTGTCGCTTCCGACCCTGGAGTTTGAACACGGGCAAACACAGGCGATCCCATTTTGAATTAAGTGGATCCCGTGACTGTACAGAAAGCGCATACATGGGAATTAGCGTTGCGTTTAATGGATCACTCTTTCTATTCTATCCTCTATTACTATATGGATCGCTATTCTCTATACAATTCATTGTAATATTTCTGATCACTATACGGATTAATATTCGAACGAGTATTATCGAGCTAGTACTATTAGTGCGAGTGATATTCGAAGGCGTCTGACACCAGTATTGTATCTGCGATTACAAAGTCTCTACTACAACGAGCATTACGAAAGTGACAACGAGTATTCGTTGGTATCACAAAAGTGGCAACGAGTGTTCGCTGACATCACAAAATAACGTTTCGTCTGTGAAAAAGAGGTTGAATGGTGGAAAGACATTCATCACCCACAAGGATGCACAAACACCTTCCAACCCTGTATATAGAGAAGCAACAGGCTTGCAACGTGGAATAAAGTGATGCTGCCGAAAATTGAGTTTGAACATAGATCGCCAGTGAACAAACACAGGCGATCCCATTATTGAATTAAGTAGACCACGTGACCACAAAGGAAACGCATATATATAAGGCAGTGGCTGACGACTAACGATCGCTATTTCTATTCTATCCTCTATTACTCTTCAGATCACACTTTCTACTCTATCATCTATTACAATACGGATCGATATTCTCTATACTATTCACTATAATATTTATTTACACTGATCACTATTCGGTTGTTATTATTCAATCGAATATTATCGATCAAGTACTATTAGTGCGAGTGATATTCAAAGGCGTCTGATACCAGTATTGTTCAACGGCATTACTCTAGTTATATCTGCAATTACAAAGTCTCTACTACAACGAGAATTACGAAAGTGACAACGAGTGTTCGTTGACATCACAAAAACATAACAAAGAGAAATTAGATTCTAGTGTTTACCGTAAACCTACTAATAAAAACGATCTAATTAATTTCTTCGAGGACACATGACACAGTGAATAAAGGCGTTGGTTAGATCCAGTGACAGGACCCAAAGAGTGTGAGTTCAATACCCGGTTAAGGCAGTGGAGAACTTTCAGAGGGAAACTTAACTAAAGGGTTCAGTTCGACATTCCAACCCCCTGAAGAAGGCCGAAGCGTACAACCACCGAAACGTTGTAATAAATATTGGCGACAAAGATGAGGACAATAGTCCGAATAATGTAAATAATGTACATAATACCTCATCTCAGAAATATAGACAGATACTGAAGAAGACCGAACCGTATAACGGCCGAAACGCTGTGATAAATATGGCAACAAAGATGAGGACAATAGTCCGAATAAGGTAAATAATGTACATAATACCTCATCTCAGAAATATAGATAGATAATAATTAATTTCTATTTCATGATAGTCAAAAAATAAAATCGCGACTAGTTATAGGATTCTACCTTAGAGACCGTAGAATATATAACTCAGAATATTTAAGTGAAGAAGATAAATACATTGAAAACAAAAACATTTAGACTTCATCACTACCCACATCATATCATCCCCAACGCTAGAAAACAAGGATACAATGTCCACAGGATCTATCTGTAGAACCTCATCTCTGTTGCTTCAAGTATCTTCTTTATCTGTGTAGAAATTGTCTATTCACAGCCATATCGGTGGAACATTGCAATTCAGAGCTGTTTTTCTTTGTTCATAATTGATATGGACCCAAAGTTGGGACCACAGAAGGAAAACACGGAACACAGATTAGAGGTAAGAAAGATATATTAAACAGAAAGGTTACAGAGATAGTGTAAGCGTAAGCGGACCTTCCTATGTGCTAGTGTCCAATATTGGTAGTCGTACACGGCTGATACTACGGTATTAGAATACTCTCTCCCCTCCTCTTCTTTTTCTCCTCTTAGAGTGTTATTTCGCATACTTTATATAGTCCTGGAAGAGTCCATGTTGTAGGTATGTTAGGGTCTCACAATAATAATGTGGTTTTCCTGTTTCTTAATACTTTGTTTAACTTTAGGAAGGCATCTTTCAGTTTTCCAATCCACCTTCGCATTTCTGCGTCAAATTTTCCATCGTCTGATAAAACACATCCCGAACAGTTGGCTCAAATGTCATGGCACTTTGTTAATGGCCGACGCAGAAGGGCAACCGATGGAATTCCTAAAGAACATCGTCAAGGAAAGTGAGAAGAAAGGCCGAAGCATTAGTTATTAGAAAACAGAATGTTTAGTTGTCAGCAAACGGAACAGCCCAAGATACGAACAACGTCTTGGAAATGCCAAAACCAAGCAAGCACTAAAATCAAAATATTTGCGAAGCGTTTAAACACAATGTGACACCGAAATCCGAAGGCGCATTCGAATGACAAAAGATTCCATTCAAACACGATACTATTAAAGATAGCATTCAAGATAGCATTCAAGATAGCATTCAAACACAATACTGTTCAAGAGAGCATTCAAGATACCATTCAAACACGATACTATTCAAGATAGCATTCAAGATAACATTCAAACACAATACTATTCTAGATAACATTCAAGATAGCATTCAAACACAATACTGTTCAAGATAGCATTCAAGATAGCATTCAAACACAATACTGTTCAAGAGAGCATTCAAGATACCATTCAAACACGATACTATTCAAGAGAGCATTTAAGATACCATTCAAACACGATACTATTCAAGATAGCATTGAAGATAGCATTCAAACACAATACTGTTCAAGAGAGCATTCAAGATACCATTCAAACACGATACTATTCAAGATAGCATTCAAGATAACATTCAAACACAATACTATTTTAGATAACATTCAAAATAGCATTCAAACACGATACTATTCACGATAGCATTCAAGATAGCATTCAAACACAAACCAGTATTAAAAACGTGAATATTTCGTTAGAAACAGAGAAAAGAGTACTGAACTATTACGAAATATCGCTTCACCTATATAGCAGTGAATGGTGAACATCTTCCTCTGTTACGGACCAATTGCCGCGACAGAAAATTTAAAAAGATATGAAAAAAAACAATTGGTTGTCAAAGGAGATGACCAAGATATACCACTATATAGTATGGTATAGTGGAAGGATTCTCTTACTGATTCAAAAACGCGGATGAGAAAAAACAATTAACTGTAATGAACAGCAAACGCCAATATAAATATATATATATATATATTCTAATTTAATAAGATTTTAATTCTAATGAGACGATACAGGAAAACATTAATGCAAGATTGTGCGTGAAAAGATGTTTGCTATACATTTCTCTGTGGAAAGACGTACACGTTATATATGCGATATGAATAATTAAAGCCCACTTAACTTTAGTTATTCATCTGAAATAAAATAGGGTTTTCTCTTTTACCTTTTCTCTTTTGTTTTATATTTCTCTTTTGTTCTTTTTACTTTTAGTTCAGTTCGTTTCGATCGTGAAGCGATATCTTTTGATATATTATTCTTTCTTCACTTTTATGAGTTTTGACCCCGAGCATTGGTCGTTTATTCTCTTCACGTCTTCAGCAATGTAGAATTCATAATTCGGTTAGGAAGATTCGGCGCTGCATAAGTCTTAGCCTGCGTACAATTGAGTGGGTCACACATGCTTGTCTTAGGTAATTATTACACTTAGTAATTCAGCTGCGCATTTGATATATGCAGCATAGTGTGTTGAGTTGAACTGCAACTCGTCTTTATTGCGCGATTTCCTTTGCTTGACCGTAAGAAGTGAAAAGGGATGTTACTCGCTTAAGACTCGGATCCCAATTGATTCATTTCGTTATTTTCCTGTTTCGTACTTGACCACGTAATTCTACACGCATGTGAGAAGCTATTTTAGATCTCGCTTGGACCTGTTGCTAGGTCAACAACCTGTCTGACGTAATAGTTCCTGTATTCAGCGACTACTATTACAGATTGTAAGATATTGTTTTATAGTAAGGTGGAAAGAGAGATGGTTCGCTAAGTGTAAAATGTGTGTGCTTAGGGGTTTTGGTTGCTTAAGAATATACCACCTCACAGATGAAGATGAAATTTGAGGCAACAGAAATGTGGTTTTACAGAAGGACGCCGCGAATACCATGACGAGAACATGTGTGCAACAAGGAAGTTTTAAGAAAAATGGAAACATAAATGACCCTGACAATTAACACTAGAAAGAGATGAAATTTATAGGGCTCATAATGAGGAAAGAGGGCTTGGAAAATTTAATATTCGCAAGAGATCTTGAGAACAAGCGGGAAACAGCGAGTAACCTACCTAATTAGCTTGTGTAAATGGATAGTAGAATACAGACTGTGAGGTTCAGTAAGAGGAAAACATCGCTTAAAGCGGCGAAAGTTTGAAAATCGTGGAGAGCCATGTTTGCCCACATCCTGAATGGAGATGACACATTGATGAAGAAGGTGGGAAATGCGCTTGAAACTTTAAAAACATTCATCCGTTATTGAATATCGATTGTTTGCAAGAAAAGGAAGACTGTATATTATTTATTTCAGTTTATTTTTATCTCTTTATAAACGATAATTCTTTTCTTGGTAAGCTCAGCTGGAGTCCTCATCACTAGATACCAGAAACACACATTTCATTTTTTTTTTTTTTTACCAAAGCCCGGTACAAGAGCTTGTTGACCGGCTTACCCTCTCCATCTGAACCCACACCCATCTATACCCTCTTCCAACTGAACTCGATTCCTAAGTAGAAGCACCTGTCTTAAATGGAATTCCTGAAAATTTTCGCGAGTTGACGAAAAAGATCTGGCGTCGGGGAATGTGGACGGTCCAGAAAACCTCGTTACATTCTGTTTGGAAGCCTGGAAGGTTTAGTCCGGTGATAAACAGATAAACATGACACCGAATAGGTCAAAATTTTATTCATACGCGCAAGTTTGGTTCATTCTTTGTACTTGTCTGAAAGAAGAGCATTTTTCTCTCAATAAGTGTTACGTTTTGACAATTTATTTTATATAACAAATATCACAAGTGTTTCTCACAATAAATTGCGGAAACTTGCAGAAAAAAAAGATAATGAAAAATGATCTTATACGCAACAACTGATCAAATGCATTAGTTATACATAGAAATAAACTCAACCACAACTTTGATCTAAAGAATGCCACACTTATCAAAAAGGAAAGCAACATAACTTAGAGGAAAAATTCTCGAGAGTGCTACTATCGAATATTATGAAAATGTAAATCTGCGGCCCCTATTTTTTTAAATATCTCTATTCTAGAAAGAATCACTCCTTTTCCAAGCCAACATAGATGACTATAAAAATGTTAAAAAAAAATTAAAAGAAAACATTTAAATTCATAACTTCTTCGTTAATTAAAATTTATGATACATACTGTTGTATAGTGGTTTCACAATGTAGGCTTGCTTTTGTACTAAGTCGGTCCTCAGGTTCTCCATATCTATCTATCTTGATCTGTTCATATCTATCTATGTCAGTGTTCATATCTATCTATCTATCTATCTATCTATCTATCTATCTATCTTTTTTCTTCTTTTTTTTTTTAAGCGTTTCACCCCAAGCAAGGCGAGAAGCCACTAGGACGCATGGGGTTACAGAAGATCAGATAGGAGTGATAGAAGAAAGGATGAGGAGAAGGGTAGTGGATAGATCCAGGCAACTGGAGATGTCGATTGACATTACATTTGAATAGTTGGAGATTATAGTTCTCAGGGAAACTGGAATAGGGAAGGGTGTTCCACGGGCGAGAGGTGCGAGACATGAAGCTATTGGAGTAGAAGAGACGGCTACATTTAGGAGTTTCGACAGCGAAAGGGTGAGAGCGGGATGCCAGCCTCGTAGGACACTTGAACTCATGAAGTCTGGGAACCAGCGAATGCAACTCCTCGGAACAATTGCCATGAAAGTATTTGTAAAAAAGACAGAGAGAGGCGACGGCGCGTCTGTGAGAAAGTGAATGGGATCGAGAGCTTCTATCTATCTATCTATCTATCTATCTATCTATCTATCTATCTCAGTCCCTATCTATCTGTTTCAATGCTCTCATTTCAATCTCTTCCTATCTATCTATCTATCTATCTATCTATCTCAGTCTGTTCGTATCTATATATATGTTTCAATGCTTTCATTTCAATCTCTTCATTATCTATTTATCTATCTATCTATTTTATTCACTAAATGCTCTTCATTAATTAATTAATCTTCAATACGACTCACGAAATTCTTTCTCTGTTTCGTTTTCATTATCTTTTGACGGAATGGAATTAACGAAAATTCAAGACTGAATCGAGATTTACCATAAAATTTGGGATTGGCTGACAATAATTGCAATGAAATTCACTGTACCATGTCATAGTCTAATAATAATTATAATAATAATTATTATTATGTTGATGTCGCACATTGAAGTAATCAATGGAGATTCTATTCTTGAGGCATGATCCCAATAAGACTCCTCACAACTTAAGAACTTCTCGGAGAAACCTTGCAGAGCAATGGATGGCATTTTCCTAGAGTTCTACAATCTTGGTCTCAATTACAATTCTCCCTAAGCTTTTTTTCAGTTTTCTAGCTGGTGTTCCAAGTGCCACCATTACTACATGTATTAATTCTAAATTTATGTTCTATAGCTGCTTCAGTTCCCTAACCATTTCCTTGTATTTTTCAATTTATTAAGTATATTTAAAAAAATATATATAACATTTTTCAAACATTGGCTCGCGTTCCCGACAACAACAACAACAACAACAACAAAAAACATGCTTCGGGACCCCTTTGAAGAGTATTTAAGTAATATCTCTTGACTGACAAAAGCAATAAGAAGATAGATAAATGTAACATCAGTTCACGGCGCGGTTTTCCTTATTCATTCACCCGTCTTCCTCACCAAGCTACGTGACACTTACACGCTTCCTTACGACGCTCCATGACACTTATACTCTTCCTCACCAAGCTGAGAAATATTTTATTGTAAAAACACGAAAATAAAAATATTTTATATTTTTATATTTAAAAACCTTTCTCGCCGAAGCAGGACAATGAAAGATCAGTTTTCAGGAAGACAGCATTCAAAATTAATCAAATCGCATTTCTTATTAAGAAGACAAAAAGCGAAGATATTATTACTGATACTACTAATACTGTTGCTACTCCTACTATTACTACTACTAATAATAATCATAGAAAACTGATCTGAATGTTATTGGTTAAGACATGCATCAGTTGGTAAAGTAACCGATTGAATCATTAAAATCACAATTAGTCGTGTTCAGCGTTCACACAGAAGTAAAAATTATAATTCTTTTGTCCCAAGTATTTAAACTGAAAACAGCAGGAAAACTTCAGCAAATGGGGAAGTGAATTCGTGACCTTATCTATGGAGTCTGTTATAGGGTCTACCAGGAGAGCCAAATTCAAGAAATTTGCGATAAAACTTCATCCAGAAACCATAACAGGCACAATTGCATAGGCCCTGATTTGAGTCCCAGAGGAAAACCGACAGAGGTAAAACCACATAGGAATGGATTAACATATTTACAGAGTTTAAAACAAGAAATAATAGGACAAGAACTACCGCCGATAAAAGAAAATATGCAAGGAAATATTTCGAAAAAAAATAACCGTGACACTATAAAACAAATACTCGACCAATTTAAACGTTAGGATTCTGGCCCGTAAAGAAAAAAAAACGCAGAACAGGTGAGTACGTGTTCAGTTCACAAAGGAACATAACGTGTAGTGCTTCCAGTAAAAGCTGGACGTCTAAAGGTATGTCGAACTGAATAAGATGAAGTAAGACTAGTTATAAGGAGGAATGTATATACCTGTTATAGTGGAACACACCTATTCTATAGTTAATAGACTCTCTCACCTATAATAAGTAGGAGTAGTAGGAGTCGCTCAGGGAGTCGGTCAGTCAGTCGACTGGCTGATCGGTTGAACTCTCTGCCTTCGGGCGGGGAGGAACCCGAACGAGGCTACGACAAATGCGGATTCTCTTTCGGGGAGGTAAACCGACCCTGAACCCGTTTATACGGGTTCAATGGGCATATTTTGGGCCGAGCCTACGGGCTCGGAGATCCCACGTTAAAAAGGCCTTGTGCCACATGACGCCCTCGTGTGTGTGTGTGTGGGGGTGACTGAATATCTTCGGTCAGCCAGTCGATGCCGGACGACAGTTCGTCGAATACTAAAGTATCAGCGACCACAACTAGATTTACTCTGCGTTATACCTATTATATCAAGTTCCTAACGTTTTGTACGTCGAACCTATTTTAGGACCGACTTAGTACAAATACAAGCCTCCACTGTGAAACCATTCCACAACAATACCCAACGTTTTCCTATAAAGAATTAGAACAAGTTGGGGTAAAAATACAAATAAATAATAAAATTAATTTGATAAACTCAAACTAGTAATAATTGTAATAAAGAAAAGAGTATTGACCCCAAATTTTGGGATAAGAAGCAACAATGATAAAATGGAATAAAACTATAAAAAAGTGTCTGTCTATGTTTCTGAGATGAGGTATTATGTACATTATTTACACTATTCGGACTATTGTCCTCATCTTTGTCGACATATTTATTACAACGTTTCGGCCGTTGTACGCTCCGGCCTTCTTCAGTGTGTTGGAATATCGAACTGAAACCTTTATTTCGCTTACTGGGGTAGACTGTTCTAGTTCCACGTGCCATGTTTAATGGATGTTAGTTATCAGTTATCTCCTGTTAATTACCCTCTCCAAGTTCTCCACTGCCGTAACCAGATATTGAACTCTCACTCTGTTGGTCCTGTCACTGGATCTAACTAACGCCTCAAGGACACATGGCACAGTGGATAAAGGTGGATAATATACACCTTCAACATATTAACCCATTAACTGCCAAATTTTTTGAATGCGCATTTTTGGCCCAGACAGGTGTCTTAGGAGTTAAAACAACATACAATATTAAAATTTTCTTCGAATAGCTGGTACTTTGAAACTTTATAGAAACTAGAACATCAAATATATATGTGTATAAAACATCAAAACATAATATTGATTATGATGTAATGGAATAACCAGTCACCCCCATGAATGATTACATTATAGGTAGTAAGTACCTTTAAAGTCCACTGTTTGCGAGAGACTCTAAGGAGAGAGAGAGAGAGTGAGACGACGCAAGCACGTCTGACCTTCCAATTAGTGGCACTACTAGATTGACCTGTATGTATAACTGTACCGTATTTCATATTGTACTGGTTGTGTACAATAAACCTTTCTTGGTGTTATGTGTTTATTCCTTTAGCACGGAATATAACAGATTAGAAATAATAAAAAAAATACTTTTCAAAATAGTCATTATTTTTCTACTCGTGAAATGTAAAATTACAACAGAAAGTGTCTTCTATGATTAGTTACGGCTAATAAAAAAAAACCTTTAAAAGGCTAAGTGTTGTAAAATATACCTCTGCAAATGTAATGTATGTAAGCAATTCAATGTAAATACAAGGAATAACATGTAGTGAGTTTAATTTTAACAGATCCCTAAATGAGGCTCATGGCAAGTAATGGGTTAATGCCACCATAAAATATGGTATTAAGTATAACAAAATAAAACACTGATATCATAAGTTTCTAAAATTATGATTATAATTATTTAAATTTTCCGACGTCTTGTCCTTATAACTAATATGTATTTTAAGACCAAAAAAAAAAAAACAATTTGTCGAAATTTCATAAAATTTAATAAGTTATGGATAACATGTTATATATATGTGTGTGTTTGTGTCTATAAAAATGTATATTAACCAAGATTTCTGAAGTAAAAAGTTGCAAAAAGAAAAGTAATTGCCTTCATTCCTGAAATTTTAATTAAAATCCAACAGATGATATCGATATTTCTCGACGCAAAAAGACGATCAAATTCGCCTTACAAAAAAAAAAGAATGTTTTTAACCAAAATTTCGAATGTTCTAAAAGGGATTAAAAAAAAAATTACATAAAAAACATTATGCGCATTTTTGGCCCAGACAGGTGTCTTAGGAGTTTATTTATTCCTTATGTTTAATTTCAGTAGTTACCATTGTCCTTTTTATAGAAACTAGAACATCAAATACATATGTGTATAAAACATCAAAAAATAATATTAATTAGAAATAATAAAAAAAATACTTTTCAAAATAGTCATTATTTTTCTACTCGTGAAATGTAAAATTACGACAGAATGTGTCTTCTTACGGCTAATAATAAAAATTTTAAAGGCTAGGTGTTGTAAAATATACCTCTGCAAATGCAATGTATGTAAGCAATTTAATGTAAATACAAGGAATAACATGTAGTGAGTTTAATTTTAGCAGATCCCCAAATGAGGCTCATGGCAGATAATGGATTAAATAGAAGTTGAATGACATTAAAAGATTGGACGTAAAGACCAGGAAAATGCTTACTCAAATGAGGATGCACCATCTGAAATCAGATGTTGATAGGCTGTAGGTACCAAGAGCTTTAGGAGTCAGAGGTCAAACCAATCTTGAACTAACTCTAAAAACTACAAAAATAGGAATGGAGACATGCCTCACAAAAGAGTAATCACCCTCTCCTAGAAATAGTAAAACATCAAATCCACTCCATCAACAAGGAAGCGTCACTCTTCAAATTGACTTTAAAACATTTGCCAAGAATAACAACCAACAGAGAAACCTACTCACCTTTGTCAAAATCTTCAGCGAAGACATTAGGATGTAGTTCAGAATCAATAAATGTGTCAAAGCCACCTTCAAAGGCGGTAAACTAACGAAAACTACATTGATATCAACAACAAGATTAAAGAAACTAGACCAAGATGGCGCATAAAAATACTTGGGAATTACTGACGGAGACGGAATATAAAATTCAGTGATAAAGAAAAAGATCCGAATAGAATATCATAGAAGAATGCGTTTGATACTAGAAAGCGAACTTAATGGGGCCAATAAAATGAAGGCTATCAACACCTTATCTATACCCGTAGTAATATACTACTTCAATATTATTAAATGGAAGATGAATGACATAAAAAGATTGGACGCCAAGACAAGAAAGATGCTTACCCAAATGATGCATCAGCCAATGTTGATAGGCTGTACGTACCAAGAGCTTTAAGAGGCCGAGGTCTAATCCAAACTTGAACTAACTCTAAAACCTTCAACAGTC